AAAGAAAGAAAGAAAGAAAGAAAGAAAGAAAGAAAGAAAGAAAGAAATGAAGAGCAAGATATGAAGAGCAGGGGAGGGATGGCTCTTCCAAACTGGGAGTTGTGGCTTCCTTAGTATGGTTGAAGGAATGGGTGAACTTAACAAGCAAGAGAATATTAGTTTTAGAAGGCCACGACTTACAGAGGGGGTGGCATGCTTTTTTAATGGAACATTGGGAAAACCACCCAGAAATACTTTCACAGACACCTAATTAGAGATGCATTATTGATGATTAAATACAAGGATTTATTGGATGCGCAAGGAAATTTGAGATTGTGGCAAGATCTTCAGGACCAAGGAGTACAAATTGATAGATGGGCATATCTTCAAGTTCAGAGTAGATACAAACAGGATAAGAAAGAATTTGGAATCAATAATAACCTTCAGCAACTAGATAAAATTCTATTAGGCCCAGATAAAAAAAAATATAACAAAATTTTATAATGACTTACTAGAGGCAGAATTAGAGGAAGAAATTGTCAAAGGGAATATGATAGCCTGGAGTAGGAATATAGGACGTAGTATCACCTTAATAGAATGGGAGAAGGTCTGGAGTAGAAATAATAAAATCACAAAATCAACAGCCTACAAGGAAAATGCCTATAAAATGTTTTACAGATGGCACCTTCCCCCCTCGAGATTAGCGAAGATGCACCCCAACATGAGTCCGAATTGCTGGAAATGCAAAAAAAGGAGGGAACATTCTTCCATATGTGGTGGTCTTGTACAGAGGCTCAAAAATATTGGCAGAAAATTAGAAAATGGTTGGAGGAAATGACAATAGAACAGATTGAATTCAAACCAGAACTCTTTCTATTAGGGATCTTTAATAAACAATTCCCCCAAAAAGTGAAGTATACAATAGTACATATTTTGACAGCGGCCAGACTGGCCTTTGCACAATGTTGGAAACAATCTCATATCCCATCAGAGGAAATGATTATTCAAAAAATATCAAGTTGTGCAGAGATGGACAAATTAACTTTGGCATTAAAAGGGAAAGACACATCAATGTATTAACAGCTGGAACTGCTGGTACGAATGGATAGATCAAAGATCGATTAAACAATAAAGGGCAAAAGAAGATATGTTATAATTGTAGTAGTGACTACAATATATATATATATTCGCACAAGGATTAATTGTACAGAGGGCATAAAATAAGGTTGAAAATAAGGTCCCACAAACTGTCGAGGATGGAACTGTTTTTAATTGTTTTCTGATTTATTCTTTCTACCTTTCTTTCTTGTTTCCCTTTTCTTTCTCACATTTATGTACGTGTTTGTCTATTTTAATTGTAAAATTAATAAAGTTTTTTTTTAAAAAAAGAAAGAAAGAAAAACGCAGCAAAGAACAAAGGGTTGTAAAAGATGTATTTATATTCAAGTACCTGTACTAAAAAGGGCATTTCTACAAATGCTCAGACTATGGAAAAACTATTGCACATCCTAATAAAATAGTGCTCACTGTTTTATAATTGTTTTGTTCATGGTATGAGAACTAGCAGATATACGTGCTGGATTCTGAAGAGGTAAGGACACCCGAGAGCCCATTGCTAACATCCATGGATAATGAGAAACACAAGGCAGATCAAAGAAGATGTCACTTTTTGCTTTATTGATTGATTTTGACGATGTAAACCAGAACAAATTGTGAATAGTTCTTTTAAAAAAAAATGGATGAGCCACCTCATCTGTCTTTTGAAGAAATTGTATAATGACCAGAAAGCAACAATTACAAATGAATATGGAGAAACTGAATTGTTCAGAATTAGGCAAGAGTGTATAATATTTATGTAATGTACATGCAGAATATATCATAAGAAATACAAGCCTGAGGTCCCTGGTTATTACAGCCTCTAGAACTTAGAATTTATTTGTAACTCTAATGTAGCAAGAATTTAGGAAATTAGAGAAAAAGCAGGAGGAAGAAGTATTATGTATGTTTGTCACCTTGAGTTATTTTTTAAAGCAGCACATGAATACATATATGTTTTTTTTCATATAATTCTATTTTCCTTTCTATGTAAAATATATCCAGGAAGTAATTTACTGCTTTATGAAAAATAACTAAGATGAATCTCTTGTCTGCAGTAGTGCTTTCTATGTTCCAGGCTCAAAACATCTTTTCTGATTGTTAAATCTAATTTGTGTAACTACCTTCCTTCAGCTTTTTTTTTATTTGTACCTTCCAACTACTTTTTAGCTGTGGGATGTAATACCTATTATACAACTTTATAAAAAAGACGGAATCAGGGGTATGGTTTGTACAATGTGGTTACCTTGTAATTGTAAGGCCAAGAGGCCATTTATCTTTTATTCACATAACCAACCCTTACTAGTGGCAATAGTCTTTTTGCAATCTGCAATAAATTCACTGTCTCCATTGGTCAAACTTTTCCTAGGCTACTTGACAATTTAGCCTTCTCTTATAGAGGTACTCTTTACTGCTATTTGAGTTTCCTCTTGCTACTAATTTTTCTCATCAAACTAACATAGACCTTGCAAAGCCTTTCATATTCCATTCATGCAAAAAGGAATGTTTATGATAATCTGGTGTATTTAAATAATTTATAGTATTATGGTACTATGATAATCAACAGGCTGCCTCGTTAACATATGGCCATCATGGAGTCTCTTTACCATTTCTTTCAGATTTTCCATATTTTGCTGTTAAAATATGGTATTTATTGTCTTTTTAACCCAGTTAGAAGCAACTTGATGTGCTATATGTAGGACACCTATTTTTTTAAACCCCATCTATATCCCAACAAGATTACCAAGTCAAACGTTTTGTCAAAATCTTCTCAAGTGATATTACTGTACAGTGCTGCCTCATAGTTTTTTAAAAATAAGATTAGTTATGTCTGACCATTAAAAATTGCCTCATACTGTAATATAGTAAAATAAAGCCTGAATGCTTGGTGCTGTACATACAGAATCTATTCTTGGTTCATAGTTCAGGTTTCCTCATTTCAGTCAGGTTTGTTTGCCCATTCATTAATAATAGCCCACTGTTTATTCTGTTTCCTTATTTTTGTTAAATATCACTTCCCTAGATCTTATTTAGACTTTTGAACCACAGGAGTAAAATTAAATAAGGAAGAGCATTTTTTTTCCTCAAGAAAAGTTGCTTATGGTACTGGCTGAGACATTCTGTTATAACAGTTGTGTTGGCCTCGAATCTTAATTTTAGATGGTGACCTTTATGCATTGTTTACTGTGCAGCATGAGGGGATCTTCCTATAACATTACCATTTTCCTATATCCCAAACAGATGTCAAACTGCACGGCTAGCAATAATTTTTCTGCTTCCTGTGGCTGTATTTTTTAGCATTCCCATTTGGGGACAGTAATCCAAGCAGTTCCCAGGACTTCCTGTGCTGCCTACATTTTTCCATTCCACATCTGTGCAGTGGCTTCAACTATCACTTACAGAAATATATTGAGTATAAGTGAGGTAACCATTCCAGTGGAATGCATATTTCCCAAATACATTCAAAATTATCTCTGGATACGGGACACTTGAAATATCAGTCATGAAAGCATATTGCTTCTAATAAAAAATGTGCTATTCCAAATATTTGGTAGGTGTATAGATCAGTCATGCTTAACTATCCATTAGGTATAGCTTTACACATGCTGAGTGCATTTCATGGATTTTTTTTTTTTTAGTGAAGCATCTTCTGTCTGAAACCTGACATGTTTCAGGAGGGAAAAAGACCAATTATTTTGAATTGTGCTTGATGGGCAGACGGTATCTACTTTTATATACTAATACAAAACTATGATATATATTACAGCAAAGTAATACTAAAAATGTTGGTAGACACACTGAAACTTAGAATTCTGTCAATTTCATGGCACACTGAGGAAAATGCTATGTATCCTCCAGCTTTAGTAGAATAATATGTACATGTATCAGCTCAATGGTAAGGCTCTTCAGTTCTTTGCTAGTATGCTTCATTGCTTCCCAAATCTTGAAATGTGCACCTTAAAATGATTCACCCTTACTGGATCTTGTTTTCAGTGCTGTTCATTTACTTTTGCAGTCTCTATCTTAAGTATTCTCATCCAGTGTAACATCTGCAACAGTAGAAAAACATGGAAAGGGACTTCAGTGAGAATGACTCAGTGTAAACAAAATTGATATCTTGTCATTCCTTTCTATGGTTTATCAATATTTTATTATATTTGTCTTGTTATTTTCCAGGTTATCGAAGGGAAGCTGGCCCCTTTCCTTGGGAAAGTAATAAAATTTGCTACCTCCCATGTTTACAGCTGCAGCCTTTGTAGTCAAAAAGGATTCATCTGTGAGATCTGTAATAATGGTGAAATTCTGTATCCCTTTGAGGACAGTTCTACAAGCAGGTTAGAATTTATGATTTTTTAGTTATATGGCATATTATTACTAGAGGTCCATAGAAAAATACAACAGAATAACTGAACTGTGGAAGAACCCCGCTCATGCTATTGGCTACCTAAAAAATTGATAGTGTGTGAATAACCTACTTTTGGATATGAATATAGCGGAAAATGGTGATTTGGGCACTGAATTTAACACTTATATAAGTAATAGCAGGGCAAGAGCTTGATTAACTGGAAAAGTGATTCCTTGTAAAACCTTTAAAAAAGCATGTTCTAAGGTTTCAACTTCATCAGAAAGCACAGGAGCATTGTCTCTGTAAATGTGTAGACTGGCTATATCTATGGTTCATGATTCCAGAGAGAAGGAAATTGAAAAATGCCATGGAGAAGGCCCATTCTCTCTAAAGTAGGAGATAGGATAACTTGTACAGGTATTGTGCAGGTTGCAGTTCCCTGGATTTGTTGTAAAGTTGGTACAGCTTTAGGGCAGCTGCAAGATTATAACTGCTCTTTGTCTGATGGCACTAAGAAGCACTTGAGCAATAGGCACTTATTCATATGCCCACGTTATCACTATGACATGAGCTGTATTGATTACCAGTTAGTTTCCAGCTGTGAACCAGGTGCTGTTTATTACCTATAAAGCCCTTTGTGACATAGGGTCTAGTTATCTGAGGGCTGCCTCTCATAAAATGTTTCTGCCTACCTAGTAGGTTCCAGCAGAATGGGTGATTTCGAGGTTCCTGCAGTTAAAACACTTTCATCTTATGGGGCCAAAAAGCATGCTTTCTCTGTTGCAGGCCCTGCTATCTGGAAGGAGCTTTCCTCAACCCCTCCCCTGGATAATCCTTGACTTAATGACCATAAATGAGCTCAAAATTTCCATTGTTAAGCAACACAGTTAAGTGAATTTTGCCCATGTTATGAGTGTGTTCCTGCCACACTTGTTAAGTGAATCATTGTAACATAGTTGTTCAGTGAATCTGGCTTCCCCATTGCCTCTGCTTGACAGAAGGTCACCAAAGGTAGCTCCATGACCCTAGGACACTGCACTCATCATAAATACATGCCAAGTGTCCAAATTTTGATCATGTGGTCATGGGGATGCTGCAATAGTCGTAAATGTGGAAAAAATGGTCATAGGTCACTTTTTTAGTGTTGTAACTTGGAACAATCACTAAGTAAATGGTTGTAAATTGAGGATTACCTATATAGTGCCCTCTTTCCTGAGTTAAAGAAGCCCTTAAAGCCTGGCTGTTAAGGTGTTTGTATCCTATTTTCTGATTGTTCTGATTGCTTTTTAGTCTGCTGTGTTTTGTAATTATCTTCTTAATTGTTTTAATTCTATAACTGAGTGTTGTAAGCTGCCCAGAGTCTTACAGAGAGGCGACCTTTAATAATTTTAAACCATCATCAAATTTTCAGTGGCATATGTTAGTGCAAAATAAGTTCAATTATTCATCTCTAAACCATGAAACCCCCATAAAATTATTTTTAAAATGCTTCCCCCCCATATGCCCTGTACCCTGAAGCCCCTTGTTTTTTAATTAAATGTGTGGCGCTAATCACAGAAAGGTTGTCTGCATAACTGGAATACGGGTAGCCCAAGCCAAGGTATAGTGAGATTAATGAGCACAAATCTTTTAGTTCTACGCCATGGTGGCATAGTGATTAAAATGCAGTACTTCAGGCTACTACTACTGCTGACCGCCAGCTGACTGCAATTTGGCAGTTCAAATCTCACCAGGCTTAAGGTTGACTCAGCCTTCCATCTTTTCGAGGTCAATAAAAGGAGGATCCAGATTGTTGAGGGCAATATGCTGACTCTGTAAAACTGCTTAGAGAGGGTTATATACCGCACTGTGAAGCGGTATGTAAATCTATTGCTGTTAGTTCCTTGATTTTTTTTGTTTTTTTTCAAGTGTTAAAATAAGGTATATAGTGCCCCTATACGAATAGTCCATCCAAACAAGAGCACTTGCTAAACAGTTTCTCTCATTCTTTCACTGTGAATGAGAAGGCCTCAAAACTAAGCCTGCATAAAACAAGGCATCTATAGGATGTTGATGAAGTTTCCTGTCCAAACCAGGAATTGACTTGATTTCTGTGGTTATTGCCAGTGCTAAGATTTTATGATTTAAATGTCTGAAGACCATAGGAATGGTCTTATTACAACAGGACAAAGGTTCATCTAGTTCAGCATTCTTGGAGGAAATTCCAGTAGTAAGATGTGAAAGCAACTGTGCCTTCCTCCTCATGTTCCTCAACACGCTACCCATTGACCCAAAGGTAAATAAATGCTATTGCTTCCTGATCATTCTGAGTGGGTAGTCTATAAATGTGATAGATAGATAGATAGATAGATAGATAGATAGATAGATAGATAGAT